TTCACCCCTTTGCCTGTTCTTTAGGCCTCGTCTGTCCAGGCCTGCCTTCTCCCACGTGGTTCCCTCTTATGCCCACCTTCAGGCGTTGGCTGCTGCACCGCCCCTTGTGAATGGTGGGCACTGGGTGATGGGTGTGGTGTCCACAGGCAACAGGGGAGAAGGAGGATATGGAGGAGCTCCAGGCCTACAACCGGAGGCTGCTGCACAACATTCTGCCCAAGGACGTGGCCGCCCACTTTCTGGCCCGGGAGCGCCGGAACGACGAGCTCTACTATCAGTCTTGTGAGTGTGTGGCTGTCATGTTTGCCTCCATTGCCAACTTCTCTGAGTTCTACGTGGAGCTGGAGGCAAACAATGAGGGCGTGGAGTGCCTGCGGCTGCTCAACGAGATCATCGCTGACTTTGATGAGGTGCTTGTCCAGTGAGCTGGTGCTGGCAGAGTGGGAGGAACTCTGGTTGAGAAGGCTGGGTTGGAGGGGTGGCTGGAGAAGGGAGGGAGATTTTATGGGACCCAGAGATGTTAGGGGAAGGGGAAGGGTAGGTAGAGTGGAGGGAGGGTAGGGACCCATGAAGGTGTTAAGAGGCAGCATAGAAGGGAGCCCCAGTCGGGTAGGGCCATCATTGTTAGGGAGCAAAGGAGGACAAGAGGATCTGGAGGAGACAGGCTAGGTACCAGGTGAATGTCTTTGAAGAAGAAAGCAAGAGTCTATGGACAGAGCCCGATTAATCCAAGTGAGCAAGATGGTCCCCCTAAATAAGGAAATAGAAGCAAAATATAAGGAAGTGTCCTAAACATCCAGGTCAGGGGTGGGCTTTCCACTCCGCTGGAGGGGAGGCACTTCCTCACTCTGGGACTCGGTTTCCCAAAAGGTCAGGTTGGAATAATTGATGCTTGATATCCCTCCTGTGGTTCTGGATTCTGTGAGTGAGCTATTGAGTTGACCCGAAGCTGAGCGCTCAAGCCCTGGCCTGGGTTCTGATGGCTGCCTGGTGAGGGAGGCCTGTCTTCCTGGCTCCTCAGCCCTGCTCTGAGACCAGCAGCTGGGAGGGAGGCTCTCTCACTGAAAGGAGGGGAGCTGTTGAGACAGGGCAGTGGGGAAGGGGCCAGGGTATGGCAAGGAATGGGCGCTGGGGGCGGGGCTGGTTTTGGCCTCTTTGCCTTGAGAGCCAGCTCCCCTGTGCTGTCCAGATCATCAGTGAGGAGCGGTTCCGGCAGCTGGAGAAGATCAAGACGATTGGCAGCACCTACATGGCGGCCTCGGGGCTGAATGCCAGCACCTACGACCAGGTGGGCCGCTCCCACATCACTGCCCTCGCAGACTATGCCATGCGGCTCATGGAGCAGATGAAGCACATCAATGAGCACTCCTTCAACAATTTCCAGATGAAGATTGGTGAGGGCCTGGTGGCTGGAGGGTTTCCCAGGGCTCTTTCTGGGGAAAGCCTAGGGACCAGGCAGGACGGCATCACAGATCCCCCATCGGGACGCTGTGGGTTTCCTTTCTCTCACTATATTGTCTGATATGAAGGACAACAATCATTCATTGAGGGCCAGCTATGTGCTGGGCACGGTTTCACACTTTAATCCTCACATTATCATCCCCTTTTACAGATAAGATAAACTGACTCTCAGAGATTAAGTAATTAGTTAGTGGTTGAACTGGGATTCAAAACCAGGTTTATGTCAACTCCAGTACCTGTGCCCTTACCTACGGCCAGTGTGATGAGGGGGTACCTCCTCTCAGATGGACTGAGGATGGGAGTGGTTAATAGCATAGGTCCTGTAGTCAGACTCTCTGGTTTGAATTCGGGATATTGCACTTACTGGCTTATTTAGCAAGTCATCTACCTTCTCTTAGCTTCACTTGCCTTATCTGGAAAATGGGGATACCGATACCTACCTTTTAGGCTTTTGAGAGGATGAAATACTAATGGCAATGCTTACCAGAGTGGCTGGCACAGAGCGCACATTCAGTAGGTGAGCTACTGTTCCAGCAGAGCTGTCCTGCCTCGGGGGAGCTCCTCAACTGACAGGACCATTCTTTACAACCAGGACACTTGTCCCTTTGCCATTTTCTTCTCTGGCTCCTTCTAAAGGTGCCAGGAGGTGAGATGACTCCCTGGGCGACCCTGGAAAGCCACTCATCTCAAATGTCTTACTGCTCTCTCCACCCCAGGACTGAACATGGGCCCTGTTGTGGCAGGCGTCATTGGGGCTCGGAAGCCACAGTATGACATCTGGGGGAACACAGTGAATGTCTCTAGCCGGATGGACAGCACAGGGGTTCCTGACCGAATCCAGGTGAGGGGCCTGTGAGCAGAGGCTGGTAGGGTATGGGTCCAGGGGGCTTCTGTCGGTCCTTTTCTGCAATCATTAGGACAGGGATCGGGTGGCAGTGTGCTGGGGGTTGGGGGAGGGCAGCTAGTATGATGAGAGGACCCCTGGGCCCCTACAAATGTAGCAGGAAGGATCCCAGCTAAGCAGTCTCCCTTCCCATCCTCCTAGGTGACCACGGACCTGTACCAGGTTCTAGCTGCCAAGGGCTACCAGCTGGAGTGTCGAGGGGTGGTCAAGGTGAAGGGCAAGGGGGAGATGACCACTTACTTCCTCAATGGGGGTCCCAGCAGTTAGCAGGGCCCAGCTACTAATTTAGCTGAAGGGACCAAGGTGGGCATTTGAGTGGACTCTGCTTGCTGGATGAAGCTGTGGCAGGGGGCACTGTACCTCAAGACCCTGCTGACCACAAAAGGGAACACCCAGCAGGCTGCTTGGACCATGCTCATTTGCCCTCAGGCTGGAGAATGAGGGGATACCAAGAAGGTTTTGTAAGTGACTTTCTTTTTAAAATTGAGGCAGGGCTGTTCTCTCTCCTGTATGCCAGCTTTTGGGAGCAGGGGAGGGAGTAGCAGTGGGAGCCCTCCTGCCTGAAAGATGGAAATGACAGCTTGCCATGCCTCCCTTTCCCTGTCTGGGCAGCAGGCTCAGGGCTGGGCCCTTCCTTTCCCTTTTTCCTGGGAATACTTTGTACACAGACTGGGGCAGGTGTGAAGAGTGCCTATTCCATGCTTGCCTTTGCTACGCCTGCATCCCCAGCATGGTCCTGGGGTCTCCTGGCCTCAGCCAGGTCTCCCTCCTAGGCACAGGCAGAGGAGGGAGATGCTCTCAGAACCCAGTTCTGTCCATATTTCAGGGGAATGTTTCCATTTGCCAAATCCTAGTCCCATGATCTGTCCCCAAAGGGGAACAAAGGGACTTCTGACAGCTCAGATTTAGCCTCAGTTCCTGCAAAGTGTCAGGGAAAGGGGCATCTGGCCTCATTGGTACTGTGAAAATGCCCGGCCAGAGAGCAGGCATTTGTGTGGGGATGTCAGAGCAGGAGCTGGAAATTCACCTGCAGGTGCCAAAGAGAGCAGGCTGGCCAGGGAGGGGGGTGGGGCCGGACTCTGATCAGAGGGCCCGACAGTCAGGATCAGGTCACTCTGCCCCTGTGCTCTCTTGCTGTCTGCTGGCAAGGGGGGGTGGTGGTGGTGGCGGGGGCGGGCTGGAGCTTCTCACCCCTTGTATTGCCAAGTTAGAAAGGGCCAGGGCCTGCAGGAAGATGACCCTGATCCCAAACTATCCTCCCAAGCCTTCTGCCCTGGGAGGGCCTGTGTGTCTGTGCGGTGTGTGTGCACGTCGGTCTTCGTGTGCGTGTCTGTCGTCCAGGACTGTGTCCTTCGTGCTCCTGTTCCTCAGCTCTCCACCCAGGCTGCCTCTCTCCTGTGGGCCTCTGTCTTCTGGGAAAAAGGCGGTGTTTCAGGTTTCAAAGGACGGAGAGAGATGCCCAGGTGGCCCAGGAGAGGGATTTGGTGTCCTGGCAGAGAAGGGGTCCCTGGGGAGAAGAGTCCTTTTTGTGCCAAATCCCTAAGTGCCATTGGGGCCATGTGTGCAGCATAACCATCTCCCTGCCTGGGCAGAGACCAGCCTGAACTGTCTAGGGTTTGGTGGGCAGAGGCTCACGACTTTCTTGGGTTTCCCAGCTGGTGTCCTGGGGCGAGGTATGCTTTGGGACTGGGGTAGCATGGGATCCTTCTGAGGACCCAGATACCGGTACTAGGGGATGGGGTAGGCGGGCCTGAAAGTTGGCCTTCCCCAGCCTTCAGCCTGAGTCTAGCATGTTCCTGGCTCCCCAACCCCCATGCAGCCTGCAAGGGCTTGGCAGGAGGGTTAGGAGGCTGGATTCTATATTCCTGTCCTATCCCTGCCTTCTTTTTCCCTTTCCCTGCAACCTCTTGCCTCTGGCCTGAATTAGTTGGTGCCTTGGTTTCTCTGTCTGTACCTATTTAAGCCTGAATTTTGCTTAAAGACTGCTTTGTCTTGGAGGTGACGAGAGGCAGAGGCGAGTGGGTCCCAGAGTTGCTGGATTGGGAATAGAAAGGGCAAGTTCCCTTCTTCATGCCCTTTCTGACTCTAGCTCCTGGTAGAGGCCTGGTTTCTGATTTGAACTGCCTGCCTTTGGGGAATCTTCATGTATCAACCAAACAGGCCATTAGGCACTTTGTTAAGACAAGGCAGGAAGAGGGGAAAAGACTAGTTGGTCCAGACAGAAAATCAACTTCCCTCCCTCCGGCCATATCCCTGGATAGGAAGGGACTGCTTGGAGACATGGGGTGGGGGTGAGGGTATAAGGAGACCAGAGTGGGAAGACCGCAGTCTTGGGTGACTTGTCTCTGCTGCTTGCTAGGCGGGACGGGCCTGTCCACACCCTGGCTCCCTGTACCACAGTGCCAGCCGTGCTCTTCCTCCGGGCTATCGCTGTCCCCTTCTTCACTGGTTGGTGGGAGAAACCAGTGGAAAGGAGGCCCAGGGACTTGGTTTTATACTGTAACCACTGTGGGAGGCGGGGGAGGGGGGATGTACCATGTATTTCAGTGAAATATTTAATATATTTAAATATCAATAAAATCAAACTCTTTGTAAAATTCTCTGTTCTCTGCCGCTGTTCTGGGCCCCGGGTTGGGTCAGAATCAGCAGAGCCTGGTGTGGAGGCAGCCTCCTGCCTGAAGGCTGGGTGGACCTCGGTTGTCTGTGGTCAGAGGACTTCCTCTGCTTTCCTCCCGGCCTCAGTGAAGCTGCAGTGTCTTCTGAGAGCATAGCTCCTCTAGGCCCTGCAGCATCATGAGGACCCGTGAGACTTCCCAGATCTGTTACTCTGGCCTCTTCCACGCATGAGGTTAGGACCCCCTGTGGTGGTCTTTCCAATTCCCTGGCCCCTCCCAAGCAAACACCAAGTTCTGGCTGCTTCAAGAACTTCTCACATACCTGACCTCACGGGAATTTGGGCACTGGAACCATTTCCCTCCCCGTCACGTTCAGAGCATAGGAGTGACTTCTGGTCCAATCTAAAGTTTACTTTTTCATTAGTCAGCCATCAGAGCCAGGACACCTTTTTCCTCTTTCCCCTTCTTTGTCCTCCTTCCACGGACCATCCTGTCTTTCTGCAAGCACATCTTGCTCAATACAGACTGAATAGTCTGTCATTGAGGATAGTGTGATCCATAAACCTGGAAAAGAGAGGGTCTCAGATTCAGTCAGGCTAGGCCCGAGTGTGTGTGTGTGTGTGTGTGTGTGTGTGTGGCGGGGGTCCTTAAACATAGGTCAAGACTATCTCAGGGCAGAATGGGCAGGGGTAGTGATGAGGAAGTAGGACTACTGCCAATGGATAGTGGCTGGAGGGCGGGAGGCAGCAACGGGGAGGATTCCCACAGGAATCCTGTAGACACTTGTCTTGTGCCTGCTCAAGTCATATCCACATGGCGAAACAAAGACACAGATAAATCTTTACCTCCTTTGCCACCACTGCCCAAATTTTGGGGCCACTTTCCCTGGTAAGACTCAAAATACCTCTTCTATTCCCCAACTCTGAGTAGAGATGAAACAGTCTCCAAGGATTTGAGTGGAGGGAATAGTCTCCCCACCACACCCCTCCCCGCCTAACCTGGTCATCGGGCTGTTAATGAGGCAGTGGCGAGGGCTCCGGATCCACGGCAGGGTGTCTTCTGGGCGCACTCCTGGCTCATTTGACCTCCAGAAGCTGAAGTTCTGAGCATCAGTCAAGGGGACTCTAAAGACTTGATTGGGGACTGAAAGGTTTTGGGAAGCACAAGTTATCCCATTTCTTTTAGTTCTGTACCCCCTTTCGTGGCTCAGGGCAGCACAAGCAACTGGGCCTGACCAGGTGCTGAGAAGTCCTAGGAGGTTGGTCACCACACCCAGCTTTACTTCCGGATTCCAGCATCTCACACCCTTCATGGTCAGTTGAATCAGTTTTGGTTCTTCCTGCTGCTACTAAGCCTGTCTCCTAGAGAGCTCCCCCCACATGCTAAAATAGTGGAAAAGCAAGTGGTCAACCCACTTGGGAAATATGCAAGATGGGTCCACAGGTTCAAACCCTCCACCCTTCAGTCTGCAGACTGATGCTCTAACCAGGGCTTTTTTTTTTTTTTTAAATGCTTAATCATCCTCATTCCCTTCCTTCCTCTCTGAAATAGTTCCTTTCTTTGTTCATTCCAGGTAATTCTCTGAAATTTAGCAATTATACTACCTCATGTTTACATACTGCTAATACGTATCATTTATCAAGTACCTGTCATGTCGTAAATGTCAGGTGTTCTTAAACTTTTGAAAGGATGTCAGACCTATTTCGATTTTGGGGGGGTATTTTCACTATTTGAATAAGTCTAATTATACTAGTGTATAAAACAGTGGTTCTCAACCTTGGCTGCACATTAGAATCACCTGAGAGTCTTTTTAAAATCCTGATTTCTGGGCCTCATCCTCCGGAAATTCTGTTTCTTGGTTATGGGGTGGGCCACAACATTAGTAACAAAGAGACAGAATTTCTGGAGGATGAGGCCCAGAAATCAGGATTTATTTTTTATTTTTTATTTTTTATTTTATTTTTTTATCTATTGCTTAAAGTATTACAAAGGGTATTACATATGTGTCCATTTTATCCCCCCGCCCTAGACAGTCCCCTAGCCTCCCCTATCCCCCAGTGTCTTACGTCCATTGGTTATGCTTATATGCATGCATCCAAGTCCTTTAGTTGATCTCTTACCCCCCTACCTCCTGCCCCGCAACCCTCCCCGGCCTTCCTGCTGCAGTTTGACAATCTGTTTGAGGCAGCTCTGCCTCTGTATCTATTATTGTTCAAAAGTTTATAATGGTCTCTATTATCCATGAATGAGTGAGATCATGTGGTATTTTTCCTTCATTGACTGGCTTATTTCACTTAGCATAATGCTCTCCAGTTCCATCCATGACGTTGCAAATGGTAAGAGTTCCTTCCTTTTTAGAGCAGCATAGTATTCCATCGTGTAGATGTACCACAGTTTTCTAATCCATTCATCTACTGATGGGCACTTAGGCTGTTTCCAGATCTTAGCTATGGTGAATTGTGCTGCTATGAACATAGGGGTGCATATATCCTTTCTGATTGGTGTTTCTAATTTCTTGGGATATATTCCTAGAAGTGGGATCACAGGGTCAAATGGGAGTTCCATTTTCAGTTTTTTAAGGAAACTCCATACTGTCTTCCATAGTGGCTGCATCAGTCTGCATTCCCACCAGCAGTGTACAAGTGACAGAATTTCTGGAGGATGAGGCCCAGAAATCAGGATTTTAAAAAGATTCCCAGGTGATTCTAATGTGCAGCCAAGGTTGAGAACCACTGGTATAAAATGTTATATTTTTAAAAATTAGAATTATAGCCTAATAATACGAGTACATAGTCTTTATAATCATTTTTTTAAAAATCCCTAATACACCGTTGAATAGATGTTACATTTTTTACTTATTTTCTTATTAATTGTAATAAGCTTTTTAAAAGTTTTGCTATTAGAAATAATTCTTAGATAATCCTTCATGCATGTCATTTAAAAAATATTTTTATCGATTTCAGAGAGACGAAGGAAGAGGGAGAGAGGGATAGAAACATCAATGATGAGAGAGAACTATTGATCGGCTGCCTCCTGCATGCCCCCTACTGGGTATCAAGCCTGCAACCTCAGCATGTGCCCTGACTGGGAATTGAACTGTGACTTCCTGTTTCATAGTTCGATGCTCAACCATTGAGCCACGCTGGCTGGGCCATGTATGTCATTAAAATATTTTTTTTCATTGATTTTTAGAGAGAGAGGAAGGGAGAGGGAGAGAGAGAAACATTAATGTGAGAATGTAACATTGTCAGCCACCTCCTGCACACCCCCTACCAGGGATCAAGCCCAAAACCTAGGCATGTGCCCTGACTGGAAATCAAACTGACAATCCTTCAGTGCATGGGACAATGCCCAGCTAACTAAGCTATACCAGCCAGGGCCATGGATGTCATTTTTAGTTTCTGAAAGCTTTATTTTTTAAAATTAGATGTTAATTTTGAGCTAATTACAGATTCACATAGTTGGAAGAAATGACACACAGTGATCCTGTATACCCTTTACCCATTGCCCCCAAGAGTAACATCTTGCAAAACTATCTAGTACAGTATCACAGCCATGCTATTAGCATAGTGGTATAGAACAGCTCCATCACTGCATGATCCTGGAGTTGCCTTTTATAGCCACACCCTCCACCTCCACACCCCTGACATTGGTAATCAATAATCTTTTCTTCATTTACATAATTTTAAAAAATGTTACATGCTTGCCTGGCTGGTGTGGCTCTGTGGTTGAGCATCAACATGAACCAGGAGGTCATGGTTTGATTCCTGGTCAGGGCACATGACCGGGTTGCTCCCGGATTACAGGCACAATCCCCAGTGTGGGGCGTGCAGGAGGCAGCCAGTCAATGATTCTCTCTCATCATTGATGTTTCTATCTCTTTCTCCCTCTTCCCTCCTCTCTGAAATCAATACAAACATATTTTTAAAAAGAATGTTACCGTGCTGGCTTCCACAGCACATATACTGAAATTGGAATGATACAGAGATTAGCAAGCATGACACGCAAATTTGTGAAGCATTCCATATTTTTAAAAAAGAAAGGAAAAAAGTTTTATACAATCGGTATCATACAGCATGTGCTCTTTCAGGGACTGCCTTTCTTTACGTAGCATAATTCCCTGGAGATTCCTACATGTTATCAAATGTATCAGTAATTTGTCCTAGATGCTTCTTTTTTTTTTTTTTTAATATATTTTATTGATTTTTTTACAGAGAGGAAGGGAGAGAGCTAGAGAGTTAGAAACATCGATGAGAGAGAAACACCGACCAGCTGCCTCCTGCACATCTCCTACTGGGGATATGCCCGCAACCCAGGTACATGCCCTTGACTGGAATCGAACCTGGGACCTTTCAGTCCTCAGGCCGACGCTCTATCCACTGAGCCAAACCGGTTTCAGCCCTAGATGCTTTTTAAAACGTACATCTTCTCTAACTTTCACACAATGCTAGAGTATTGTTTCCATTTCCAGATGATTTGGAGCAGTTAAATGTTTAAAATAATTTTCTCAAGGTTACACAACTTGTTTGAACTTCAACTCAGTTCGAATTCCAAAGCTAGAGCTTGGTCTACCACTCCTTGGAGGCATAGCATGCAATAATATACAAGTACTTTTCCTAAATTGTCACACTTTTGGTTTGATCCTCATAGCAAGTCTGTAAGATTAGTAGAACAGGTATTTTCTGTTTCTTTTTCTTTTCTTTCTTCTTTTTTTTTTTAATGAACGAGGAAACAGGTTAATTTAAGAATAAGTGACTACTCAAGTTGCGACATTTAAAAGAGGCAGAACTGGACTGAAACCTGGACCTTCTGCCTTCAAGTGTGATTCAATTTTTATTTTATCTTGCTCACTCCACCACTCAGGTCTACTTTCTCCTTCATCTTCTCAGTCTCTCCTCTTGGCTCTTTTTATTCCCTGCCCTATAACCATGCCCCACCTCATCCAGGCCATTTTTTAGGAACTCAAGACATAGCCCACCCAGGGGTACTCACATGTCTTTAGCAACACCTTCCGTACAGCTTTGTGGTACTTTGTGTGGCTATTCTGGTGCACAGAATAATTCCCATCTTTTGAGATAATCGGGGGAAGCTTCGTGGGCACCGGTTCCTTCTGGTCTGAAACGAGAGCAGATTTGACAAATGGGACTATTTGATTCTCTGAGCCTCTACTCTCCATGCCACCCACACACATGGCAGGGATCTCTCCTAGCCACACACGTTTGATTCTCCATTTTTGGCATCTTCAGGAGTCACATCACAATGCCTGTGACAGAGGGGAGGGAGGGAGAATCCGGAGATCAAGAGACCTCCTTCCCCACTTTCTTGCTCCTCCCTGTCTCCTGGGCTTTGAGTGGCCTCCTACTGAAATCAAGATACAGATATTTAGGGTTAGTGCAGGTGAAAAAAGGCACTTGATCTGGCTAGGCAATCCCTTTTGGGGACTGGTATATTTGCAGAGCTCTAATTGGTCTAAAGGGCAAGTTATGTTTGAGCTGAGTCTTGGAGGGTAAGGAGTTGTCTGTGGGACATGGTAGTATCAGAAAGAACATTTCAGGCAGCAGGACAGCAAGTGTTAAAAGTATTAGAGAGGGCCCAGCTTGCTATTGATTTGGAGCCTGATTCGTGTTGAGTAAAGTGGAAAGGACAGGGGATGGGGCTAGCGGAGAGTAGGGCAGGGTGGGGTAGGGCAGAGTAGTAGAGTGTAGATCTAGTATTCTTATGAGGGTTTGGGACTCCCCTCTGAGGCAAAACCTATATATCGCTAGGCTGAAAAGACCAGATCTTCCCTACCCAGTGTAATGGTCTGAATGTTTGTGTCCTCCAAATTTATACTTTGAAAACTTAATGCCCAAAGTGATGGTATTTGGAGGTGGGGGCTTTGGGAGGTGATTAGGTCATGAGGACAGAGCCTTCATCAGTGGGATTAGTGTCCTTAGAAAAGAGGCTTGAGAGAGTTCCTTCACCCCTTCCACCATGGGAGGACACAAAGTGAAGTCTGCGACCTGGAAGAGGACCCTCACCCGACCATGCTGGCACCCCGATCTTGGCCTTCAGCCTTCAGAACAGTGAGAAATAAATTTCTGTTGTTTACAAGCCACCCAGCCTATGGTATTTTGTTATAGCACCCTGAGCAGACTAAGACGTGGTTTTCAACCAGTGTGCTGCGGGACACGAGGCACACCGGTGTGCTGCAAGAATTTGTAAAAGATGCAATACCTGACTATTTAGTCAGGGTCATTGACCTCTTTTCCCTTTTGTCAAATAAAAAAATGACAACAGCCAACACAGCAATAGCCATTTGGTGTGAATGAATCAAAATTATACATATTTTTTTTGGTCAGGTCAGCAAAAAATACATATTTTGGTGTGTCACAGACATTTAGTAGTTAGTTTCTGTGTGCCACGAGATGAACAAAGTTGAACATCGCTGGGCTACGATACTTAGCCACTCTTACAGCTAGGGCCTGGGCAGAAAGTTTGGCTAGGACAATCAAATACATCTGTTCCAGATTTTGAATCAAAGATGAGGTTGCAGAGAAGCAGGGGTTTGTAAAGCCTTTCTCTGTTGATGGGAAGTTGCAGCAGTGAAACTGCTTGTCTGCAGCACAGTGTGCAGGGCCCAGCGTCCTTGGAGCCAGTGGTGCCTGCCCTAGCATTGATTGCAGTAGCTGTGCCTCACCAGGTCTGCAGCATGATTCGGAACAGTGTTCCTGGTTACTATCCATCAAGCTTGGTTCTCCGTTCCTTCTACAGCTTTTATGTGCTTCCCAATATTTTTTTCTTCTTTTTAAAATTTAAAATTTAAAATTTTTTAAATTTTTATTTCCAAATATTTTAAAAAACTATTTTTTTTACTGTGTTGTGTAATTGACATGGTTGTACATATTTTATACAACTTAATGAGTTTGGAGATAAGTACACACCTATGAAACCATCACTAAAATCTATCCCATAAACGTTTATATTCCTTCCAGAGATTTCCTCCCACTCTCTTTATTGTTATTTTGTGATAAGAACACTTAACAAGATTTACCCTCTTAGCAAACTTTTAAATACGTAATGCAATTGAACTACAAGCTTTATGCTGCATCGATCTCCAGGACTTACTCATCTTGTAGAACTGAAACTTGTATCCTTTGACTACTGCCCTCCACCCCAACCCACCCACCCCCAATGCCCTTTCCCCTAGCCTCTGGCAACACCATTCTACTCTCTGCTTCTGAGTTTATTTTAGGTTCCTCATATAAGTGGTATCTTGTAGTATTTGGCCTTCTGTGTCTTCCAGGTTCATCCATGTTATTGCAAATGGCAGATTTCCACTGTATACATATACTGCATTTTCTTGACCTATTAATGCATTGTGGTCATTTATGTTGCTTCCATGTCTTGGGTATTGTGAATAATGTTGCAATGAACATGGAAATGCAGATATCAACTTGAATTCAATTCCTTTGGTTATATAGCCAGAAATGGAATTGCTGGATCATATGGTAGTTCTCTTTTTAATTTTTGAAGGAATTTACATACTGTTTTCCATAGCGGCTGCACCAATTTGTATTCCCACCAATAGTGCACGGGGGTTCCCTTTTCTCCACATCTTCACCAACACTTAATCTTTCATGTTTGTTTTTTTAAACATGTGAGGTGTTATTTCATTGTGGTTTTATTTTGCATTTCCCTGATGATTAATGATCTTTTAAAATGCCTGTTGGCCATTTGTGTGTCTTCTTTGGAGAAATGTCTTTTCAGTTCCTTTGCCCATTTTTTAATCAGATTTTTTTTTTTTTTGCTAAAGTTATGAGTTTTTTATATTTTTTGGATATTAACCCTTTATCAAAATATATGGTTTGCAAATGTTCTCTCTCATCTATAGGTTTTTTCATTTTGTTGTTTATATGCCATGCAGAAATTTTTTAGTTTGATATAATCCCACCAATATTCTTTTAACAAATTCATATTCTGCTTAAATAGGATTTGGCTTACCCTTCTGAATCCTGAGCTGTCAGGAACTGGATGAAAATTGGCCGTTCTCTGTGAAAATTGTTGAGATTGCTGCCTCGCCTCTGGTGGAGGGTGGGGATGCCACTTCCTTTCTGGTTCTTCCCCAGCTGCTGCTTTCCCCCTTCTTCATGGCTTGGCCCCACTCCCTCGATTCTGTCTCTCCTCCCTCCCTTTTGCACTCCTATGGAAGTGCCCTCTAATATTCTCTGAGATAATGACACTGCCAGGGTGGGACACTGTTTGAATCCCCTCCCTCTACAGGTAGTTGGGGACTTGGAAAGGCGGCAGGTATAGAGTTCTGGAAGCCTGGCCTGACCAGGGGGCTGGTCTGTGCTTCATCACAGGTTACCGCAATGAGAGGGGCTAGTTCCTGGGGGCAGTGTCATTTGAGTTTGGTGGTTTGACTTTGGGAGAGTAGGGAGTGGGAGTAAGCAGATATAACCTGAAGAGCAGGAGCATATTTCTAGTGGGCAATGGGATCTGGCCTGTAGTAACTGTTGGTCTGGGTGCAGGTGACAGTGGGAGCTCTTTATCTGTCCTAAGGCCTCAGACAGATCGTCCTTAAGGGTACAACCGGATGATATTCTCTATTATCTGTTTCCAAATAGTAGATTCCCAGCTTCTCATATGGATGGTTATAGTGTGCTTGGAGGTGTGCTGGACAATAGCACCCATGTGGATGCCTTCCACCTGAATCAAGCACCCATTGACGTACTCCTCGCATCAGTTTTTGGCAGGCTGGGAGATATTTTTGGTAACTATAGCTTCTTGAAGCTTCCAGGTTTGGAAGCCACCTGAGGTGAAGAGTGGTGATGGGCAGGTAAGAATCATGCCACAGACTCTGTGAAAGGGCATGTTCTGGGTAGAGGGATGCAATGAGCTCTTTATAAGCAAGCTTCACTGTGGCAAGGTAGTAGACCCCATCATTTTGTTGGTAGGTGGTATAATAGAGGAGGTTCTTCATCCAGTTAATACCATGCTTCATATGGTTTTGGAGGCTAAATAGATATGGAGTACCCTGGACAGTTTCTTCTAGAAATGGGCCACGAAATGGGAGTTACCATAGACCACCTTTAATACTTTGAATGGACTGTGAAGGACTTCTGGGGTGATGCAAAAGTACATGGGTGGATCTTTCACTTATCCAATTTAATATTGCAAATTTCACAATATTATAGGCTTCCCAGGGACAATGGAGTCATTGCAACATTTTTATTTTTTTAAAATATATTTTATTGATTTTTTTTACAGAGAGGAAGGAAGAGGGATAGAGAGTACGAAACATCATGAGAGAGAAACATTGATCAGCTGCCTCCTGCACACTCCCCACTGGGAAGGTGCCTGCAACCAAGGTACATGGCCTTGACCGGAATCGAACCTGGGACCTTTGAGTCCGCAGGCTGACGCTCTATCCACTGAGCCAAACCGGTTAAGGCTCATGGCAACATTTTTAGTTATCCACTACTTTGCCCGTTGCCTTTTGGTTAGTGGGAACTGTGGCTGATTTGCCACAATATTTTCAGGTTGAGAAAAAATTTTTTTTTTTAAAGAGCTCCCCACATAGTTTAACCAAGAAACCAGAAACACCAATCAGAAAGGATATATGCACCCCTATGTTCATAGCAGCACAATTCACCATAGCTAAGATCTGGAAACAGCCTAAGTGCCCATCAGTAGATGAATGGATTAGAAAACTGTGGTACATCTACACGATGGAATACTATGCTGCTCTAAAAAGGAAGGAACTCTTACCATTTGCAACGTCATGGATGGAACTGGAGAGCATTATGCTAAGTGAAATAAGCCAGTCAATGAAGGAAAAATACCACATGATCTCACTCATTCATGGATAATAGAGACCATTATAAACTTTTGAACAATAATAGATACAGAGGCAGAGCTGCCTCAAACAGATTGTCAAACTGCAGCAGGAAGGCCGGGGAGGGTTGCGGGGCAGGAGGTAGGGGGGTAAGAGATCAACTAAAGGACTTGTATGCATGCATAGAAGTATAACCAGTGGACATAAGACATGGGGGGATAGGGGAGGCTAGGGGACTGTCTAGGGCGGGGGGATAAAATGGACACATATGTAATACCCTTTGTAATACTTTAAG